AAACATCTTTATTTGACAGAGCTACCGATGGCACCTTGCCAGTTGTCAATAAATTGTCTTTTTTACCGGTGTACGATGTTATGATTTTGTACTTGCGGCTTCATTAATATACAGAATGGGTGATTACTAATTTCTGATGAATTAGTAAATATGCCCAATGAACTTCAAGAATACTGCAAAAAAGTAGACATATTTTTAATGAAGTGACGAATGCGAATTATGTTAAATTACAACGTTTGATGCAGAATCCGCTAAGTTAAAGAAAAAATCGGTGAGCTTTTTTCCGCATCCGCTCAACAGCCGCGGTGAGCTTTTCTCCGAATCTGCCGGTTTTGCGGTGAGCTTTCCTCCGGTGAGCTTTTCTCCGGTGAGCTTATCTCCGGTGAGCTTTTCTCCGGTGAGCTTTTCTCCGGTGAGCTTTTCTCCGCCGCCCCATCCGTCAGGGGTGTGAACGGTAAATCGTCACGCAAACATATTCTCACAAGCTGCAAATATTTATTTGGCTTAGCAAGTAGAATATACTAACGACATGTGATTATTGTATACAAGATACCATTTCTCGGTTCTTCAAAACCATTTCCCTAGTCTGAACGGTCGCGCTACGGGCCGCGGCTAGCCGTGCCCTCGATAGACTACGGAGCTGCGTTGTGTCGTCTGCTACTGTACCGCCAACAGGAGAGCGATAGCTCTGTGTGCTCCACAGATGCGTGTTGCGGTATAACTCTGTACGTCTGTCCTAGAGGAAGAGAAAAAGATAGGCTCTGTGACCCCCTCCTAAGCTAACAAAAACAAACAAAAGTATACTCGTTTGGACTGAAAGGTTTACAAAATAGTGACCAGACATTAGAAAAGCATATGTCACAGAACTTGGTTTATGAAATGGCATCATTGTTTCGAGCAAGAAATCACCTGCTCACCACTGGGACGATGAAATCGTCACTATTTATTGCGTCAGGTATATTTGCGCTCATGAAGAAAAATCTGAACACATCCTTCTCCCAAAGTCCTATGTCGAATAATAAACACTTTTTTAAACATCTATGCACATATAACTCATTTTTTTCTACACTTGTATATACACGTTAATTAAACGACGTCAAACCGCATTTTTGATTAGATCTTGATATCTACACCAACTACATTCATATTTTTAGGGCTTTATTGAATGATAACTTCAACTATAGTTAATGGAACACGATGGCTCGATCTCACCAAAAACCTCAACGTGCGAAGCTTCCACAGACGGTCGCTTGCGAGTATTCTCAATGTGAGACTTCAGAAGCTTTCGCTTGCCATAGGGAGCTTGATTTCGACTACAGCACTGCACGGGCCCGGAAGGCGCTGCTGTGGGGAGAGGTTGACTTACAAGATGACGTGTTACGTGGTCACGTTAGATGAAATCATTTCGTGCAGCGTGATCACGTAAGATGACGTCATTTCGTGTAACGAGATGATGTAGGATGACGTGTTTGTGTCACGTGATCACGTAAGATGACGTCAGTTCGTATGAACTGACGTCATCTTACGACAACGCCAACAACATTAGTGCCGTCCGGAACCATCGACCGTAGAAACGCGCCTCTTCGCTTGAAGAGCTGATATGCGTTGATTGTTATTTGTTTCTTTTGCCTACTACAGACCATTCAAAAACTCGCCTTCTGGGTGCCACCAACTTCGTCTACTGGGCTTTGAAGCGTGTTCAAACGTGCGCAATACCTCTCTAGGCCGAAAGATTGTACACTGAGTATGCGTTCACAGCTCAATGACTTAGGCATTTTTCGTCAGGATGGATGCTCCCACGAGAAGAGCGTAATGGATATGTGAATAGAATTAGAAATTTGAGATGTTCTTGTCCAATCGCATTTTTCTTTGGTTATCAACGCTTTTTAGCGTCATCACAAGAAGTTCAACCCATAATACACTGGTGATTAAAAAATAAGCACCGAAAAACATGCACCGATTTTCGCTCAAAAATAAACACCGGAAAAAACATACCGTAATCATTACCCATGTCACCTTTTTGGGTGATATGTGAATTTCCAGAAGAACAGCCCCTAGGAATACCCTGACTACAGAGCAGGCGACCCGTTTTTCCCCGCGTTAGATTGCGGTGACCACGAATCGTACGGAGGTCACAGGACGTCCGTGAAAAATAAAAGGGACGCAAACAACGATTTACTCTGTGCACGCTTCATCCCCGATTTCCACGACCCCAAGGCCGAAGGACGTTTGTGTGAAGGATAACAATAAAATAAAACTTTGCGTCAAAAAAAAAAAAGCCCGTTTTTAAAAAAAAAAAAAAGTAGAAACAAGCACAACGCGTTGACGGACCGCGAGGTAGTGGAACACCTCGCGGTCCGCTTGCCACAGGACGGTTGTCTTCGACCCATAGCTCCAAGGTGAATTTGCCACTTGCGAAAAGACGGAGACCTACCCAGCGAGAACCACGAAAGCAAGACACGCACACTGACGCCTCGGCGTGCAGAATGAAACAGGATACGGGCGCGGAATACGGCCGCGGAAGAACACCTCGCACAGTGCCGATCCGGCCGATCTCCGAACGGACGATTTCGCATTTCGTGGACAGCGAGCGCCACCGCACGGGAGAGAGAGGTACCTTAAAAACGACGAAAACAAGCACCGACACCTTAGTTCTTTATATTTGCTGTAGTTACGGAAAAAATCGACTTACATGAATAATTTGAATATTATTCGATTCCGTAATAAATTTAGAAGACATTAAACGCAATACTTCTTATGTTTGAATTTAGATAATTTTGTAAATTCGCTCCGAACGCAAGAGTGCCGAATTAGCCGATTTTGACCATTTTCATGATTTTTTAAAGAATATAATTAAATTTATGATGAAACATTTGTTGCGCTTAGTGACTCGATAATGACTCAATGTCTTTAAAGCCGAAATTTTCAAGAAGATCCGCGCAGCCGTTATTATCTGAGAATTTTTTTAATTTGGTGAAAAACCTCATGTATTCTCTATGGGGCTCTGAGGTGCGCCCCCTCTTAAGCATTTTTAGAGTTGACTCCAAAAAAAAATATATAATAATAAAATGCCCGGCAATGACGAAATCCGGTAGATACTGTCAACGGTTTGTGGAAATTGACATTCATGATGCCAACCCCTGAATGGCCCAGATGACGGTCCAAAAAGCGTTCAAGCCCAGATTTTTGGTACTTACGTACAAAAAAGAAAAAGAAAAAAAAAAAAGAAAACCAGCCGGCATGGCGCGAGAGAGAGGGGGAAAGGTGGGCAGAGGAGATGCCAGTGGCAACTCCATAAAGCCCCATGCGATGCGTCGGGAAACTCGGCAAGAAGAGGGCGAGAGAGAAAAGTGGGAGAAGATAGTGACGACGAACAATTGACAAGCCTAAGTTCCGGGTGCATGTATTTTCTCAGTCGTTCCCAAAATATTTCACTGAATGTTCTGTAAACAGCTCTGGGACCCGGTCCAGCTTTTTCCAAAAGCCAGTCATTAGCATCGGCCGTCACGTCTACGGGTCTACGAGGCAGGCTGCTATGTCGTTGTAATTTTTCTTTTTTTTTCGAGTCTGCATACAATATAAGTGCTGCGATTGGATGAGTCGTTCAAGTCGCCCCTATGAAGAAGTCGGTGATCGCCAAAAACGCCGTCGTATTCAGTCACGGCTCGAGGACCTTTTTCAAGGCCATAACGCTTCACACGTTGAATCGTACTACTGCTCGGATCAAGGTGCCTGTGAGGATATGAATGACGCCTCCCAGAAACCAAGTGGCAGTGCACATAACGGCGCGTCAAGTCCAGTCTCCGTTCAAGACTTTTCAGACGCCTCCGACGATCCCAATCAAGAACGCCCAGCGGACGGGATCCCCCATCTTAAACCATTCTCGTGCACGCAGCGAGAGTACCAGCTACGCGCCATAAGGCGGCTAAAGCACGCGCGGCAGCGCATTAATCAGAAGCAGAACGAGGTAAGCAGTGGAACATTCCGCGCTGCGTGACACCGTCTCTTGTTCATTTATTTACGTCAATTTCTTTCTTATTTTATATCTTTGAGGCTGGCACATCCAGGGACGTCTTTTGGAGGCGCTCCGTATTGTATCTCGTGTCTGAACATGCTCAAATAAACAGTTCGTACCAAACCTGTGTTTTAGTTACTTCCTTCGTACTTGCATGATAGCAACTTGCCTTCGCAATAATACAAAAAAAAAATACTTCTTTTTTTTTGGCCGGGGGGGGGGGGGGGACAACGTTTTCTTACGACGGCTAGGGAACGTAATTTGGAAAGGTTTCTCAACGTTCTGTGAACGTCGTTGGTAGTCCGGATGTCGTAAACACACGTATCATAAACGTCGAGGGAGGACGGAACGGCCCACTGAGACGTGCATGTGACGTGCAACAAACGTCATTTGGAACGTCCCCTCGACCTTCTGTGCACCTTTCTCGCGGACATTTAAAGGTTTCATCGACGTCGAAGGAAGGTAACGTACGGACCTTCGACGTTTTACGACGTCACGTTACAGACGTCTTCGACGTTCTTTCGACGTTTTCTTTACGTTTATGTGCTGCTTGGGGTGTCAAACACCGGCCTACCGCAAAGCTCGGCGGCTAGATAGCCACCCTGCGGCCACTAAGCCAGAGAGATGGGTGTCCTAGTGAAATTACGGGACGCCATAGACTTAATTGTATAATCAAATCACTGAATTGAGCTCTCTAGGACCTAGTCCTAGAGAGCTCAATTCGTTGAAAACGTAAATGACCAAACGCCATGAATTTACATTTCACCATATTTTCTGTATTCTAATAAAGATTTGAATTAGTGCAAACGAACGACTTCGAGAACTTTATCTGAACGGTATTGCTTTTATGTCAAAACACCATGCATCTGAACGTAGATCTGCGAAAAAGTCAAGAACAATTGAAACTTCCAAGTATATGCCCAAAACTTTAATTCATCTTGAACCACCAGGAATGGCCGCATCGGAATTTGAATTATGACAGCGTTCAGAGTTTAGGTTTAGAGGCGCGGACCACATAGGCGCTGACCGCCAAGAGTGAAGCGTCGGTGTCTTTCCCTGCCCACAGTCGCTTTGCTTCTTCGGTGGCGTCTTGGAGAAGGAGCAACTCTTCTTCCTTTGTCAGAAACGCCCTTATGGGGTTTGTGGCCAGCAGGTCCTCTGCAGAAAGAGGAGAATTAAAACAGGTAAGAAAAAACGTTAATTAAAGGGTACGATACAGAACTCTCTGAGGGCACCGGAGCCCGGGGAAAGTGGAGTGAAAGCTCGCGCTTGTGTTACAGAACTAAAAAATCCTGGGATCAACCTCCGCCCTGCCCCTTTAAGATATAAATTAGAATTAGAATTGTGTGCTATTGCGCGACTACTAGGTTATATACGGTAAATACCCCAGGTAAGCTGTCGCACCGCATATCAAGCACATGTAAATTTACTTGCTTGGCAGAAGAGCGTGTTGGTTTTAGTCAAGGATGATAAAAGAATAAACAATTAAAACAGGGACAACACAATCTTGCTGTCATCTTTCAGAAGATAGCTTCAAATTGCAGCACATGAGGGTTGTCAGGGCAGGGTTTCCCGTCGACCTTCTCCGATCTGTAATGGAAAGGATGATTCGCGGGCCAGATCGCCAGTCACCAGCCACAAAAAAGAAAGCCCGATTCGCCGTCATTCCTTACGTACACAATTCAGCCCACCGGATAAAATCCATTGCCTCAAAGTTCGACACGAATGTTGTCTTCTCGTGCCGCATGCGTCTTAAACAACTCTGTCAACAAGTGAACAACAACCGGATTCCGATTGGCTGCACTGTCAAACACGAAAAGAAATTCATTCCATGCAAAGAGAAGAAAGTTTACTCCATCCCCTTGAGCTGTGGCCATCAATACATAGGACAGACCGGCAGATGCACCAATCACAGACTCCGCGAACATCACAACGAAGTTTCTAAGGCCTCTCCAGATTCTTATCATCCCATAGTCATACATGCCCGTTCGTGTTTGCGTTGCCATCCCCTCTTTGATGACACAAAAATCCTTGGGGGGCATGACAGCAGATTCGGCAGGGAAATCATAGAATCATTAGGTTGAATTTTTAAAATCCGAGATAACCCTACCACCCTGACTTGCACTTCGCGTGTTTTATCTTTCCTTCTCTCCCCTTCTCTCCCCTACTCCTACTGGGTATAGTCGGCTGCTCGCTGTTGAACGTTTACTCGTCTGTTGCTAGTTGAAAGATGTGGTTGTGTTGTCCCTGTTTTAATTGTTTATTCTTTCTTCATCCTTGATGTAAAATTAATTCGGTTCTTTTTTTTTTCAAATCTATGTGTGACTAAGAAAAAAAGTTACGTGAAATTTGTTTCGGTTCCAAAGAGTATTTCTTACGGTACTTGAAGCCTAATTTCTAAATGGAAGTCAGGTTTATGTATTGAAGTAACTTTTGAACCCGCATCAACCCACAGAGAGTCGCCGTATATTCACATATACATAAGTTCAAGAATGTTAGTGACTAACGAAGTAAAAAGAAATCAATTCAAAGGTGCCAGATAAAAAAAAAACACAAAGAGAGATTCCAGAAGGAATCTGTCGAAAAACATAGACTGTATGTCCTTTTTTGTGTCTCATGTTTGTGGTTATAATCTGACTTACAAGCAAGCTAGCCAAAGAGTTGTCAGTTAGTGTTCTTTCCTGTATTCTCGTTCTTTCTCGCGCCGCCCTTCCGCTATATTTTAGTGAGACTAGTCAAACCTAGTTATCAAAAGATCGCTAACGGATTAAGTGCTCCAGGTCTCCATGGAGCTCGTATGGGCCACTTGGGACTTCGCACATGGACAAAGTAAAGTTGGCGTTTTTTAGAATGCCAGTTATATAAGAGACGAGGGCCTCTTTCCCAGCAAGGCCCACTGTTGGAGGAGTGCAATTTTCGCAGATCTGGAAAGGAATAAAAAAATACATATATAAAAAGTAGTTACTTGTATCTTCTAGTTTATGTGGGATTAGAATTTGTCACATTTTTTGCGCAGGGTACTTTATTACTACACATATAAATGAAGTAAACATTTGCTCCAAGAAAGCACTTAGTTTTCGTAAACTTGAGGAAGAAAACGAGAAAGGACGGACAAACACAAACTTCCAACTGGCAACAACATTTAATAACACCAAGAGTTTGCTTATGTACAGGAAAAAAGGGGGGGGGGAAGAAAAGGGGGTGGAAAGGAGGAGCACTATGCCGTCAAGGGTGCGTCGTCGCTGTCGGGAACGTCGGGGGAGATAGCTCCGAACTGAGAAATCTTATCTCTTTCCCCGAAAGGGCAATGGAGGGGGAGCCGATGTTGTCCTTGGATCGACACATGGCGAAGGCCTCCAGAATCTCCCGACCATACCTCGAGGGGTGACCCCCAATTCTTGTAGTAGAGGGAAGGACGGCCGAGCAGGAAGTACATTCCGATGCGTGTTTGGCGATCGGGTGGTGAGCATAGGTCGGCATTTCCGAACCCACTCACTCACCATCACATCACTAATTACAGCAACATCCAAAAGTCACAGCCCTTCACATCACAAAGTACATCGACGTCCAAAAGTCACAGCCTTTCACATCACAGAGTACACCGACGTCTAAAAGTCACCGCCTTTCACATCACAAAGTACACCGACGTCCAAACGTCACAGCCCTTCACATCACAGAGTACACCGATGTCTAATATTCACGGCCCTTCACATCACAAAGTACACCGACGTCCAAAAGTCACGGCCATTCACATCACGGAGTTCAACCGGACAACAAACTCATCCCCATCACGTCACCTCAATCTCTGATCTCACAAAGTCATTCACCGTCACTTCACGAATCCGTCAAGTTCACGAAGTACTTCACCGTCACATCACGAATCCTATAGAGTTCATGAAGCATTCCCCATCCCATCACCGCCAGCTCTGAATTCACAAAGTCGCTCACCGTCCCATCACGAGCTCATCGAGTTCAGCAAGTCGTTCCCCTCACGTCCGTGAACTGATCCCGTTCATGAAGTCGTTTGACCGGTTCGACTTCACGGCCCTTCACCGAGTCACAGTCATTCACCGAGTCACAGCCATTCACCGAGTCACCGAGGTCACGGAAAGCGGCGTCGGCCCCTGCAGTCGCGGCCACCGCCACTGCCTCCGGCTCTCAGCCATCCTCGAAGTTCTTTCGCAGCGGCGCTGACGGCTCCAGATGTGTGTGTCAGTGTGTGTGTGTGTGTGTGTGTGGGGGGGGGGGGGGGGGGGGTATTGGGCTGGGCCTGGCGACGCACCCTGCACTTGTCATTTTCTTTGTTTAGCTTGTTCCCTCTGGTTTTAGTTTTGTTGTCCCGTTTCTTTTATTTTCGTTTTGTTTCGCGCTTTCTTCATCGAGCGCGCATGCTGTGGAGAGCGAGCGGCTTCTTGACTTCCCTGCTCCGAACTTGTGAGATAAGGTGCTTGTTTCCGGGAGAGTTATTAGCCCCACGGATGCCCAGAACCAAAATGGCTGCTGGTTTGTGGGCGAGCGGTATTACAAAGGGTGGCATCTAGGGAGCCTTCATGTGCGCTTTGCTAGGGTGATGCCATCCTTTGTAATACCACTCGCCGACAAACCAGCAGCCATTTTGTTCCTCGGCGATAATCCGTGGAGCTTATAACCCTCCCGGAAACAAGCACCTTATCTCAGTAGTTCGGAGCAGCGTTGTGGACACCCTATTCAAGTTGGTCCTGGTTGTGGAACCCACGGAGGGAGGATTAGCATTTTCCCTCTCGGATATGTGATTACCGATGGACACAAAGGCCACTTTCCGGCGCACGGGAACACAATGAGAGGAACAAAATGGCGGTAGACGAGGGTGTGGGAAAGGGAAACAGGCGGTTGGCATCACCCTATGCGAAGCGCACATGAAGGCACCCTAGTGGCATCACTCTAGCAAAGCGCACATGAAGGCTCCCTAGACTTCGCCTGGTTGTCGGCGTTGTGACTGTGGAGGGGACCCCACCTCAAAACCTTCTGGCCTGTCCTTTTTTTTTTTTTTTTTTTTACTTTTTGTTGTGCACGGTTTTTTCTACAAAAAAAAAAAAAAGAAGGCGCTTATATTTTTGCCAACGACCGCTCGCCGAGGGGGCAAAAAGGAGAGACAGACACGAACCTGCCTGCACGATTTTTGTGAAACATCTTACAAACATTAATAAGAGTCCATATTATATGAACGAAGACGCTTTAGCGCATTATAGTTTAGCGAATAGAGATCACATACGCGAGTCGACGTTTAGGCATTTGTAGGGGCGGCAAACTGGGCATCCAAACAGACCGCGCCAGGCGGTCTGTTCAGAACGATAGCAAGGGGTGCTTCGCTATAGTTTGGGGAAAATAATATGAAATCAAGTTCGAGCGTCCATCGCCAAAGGTTTGGCAAGCTCGAAAACAGGACAGCGGCGGCCTTCATTTTATCTATTCGGTCAAATGACCGCCGCCATTCGCTAAAGTGGCATGCGATGAAACGTCGTGGGCCAGGTTTTTCTCGCTAAACCGTCGTTCGATCAGTACAAAATTGTTCTGTGTATTTTATCTTAATAATTATGATCCATGGCAACCAGCCTATCGTTGCCTACCTCACTTTACGTCGTAAAATAGCGCGTTGATGTCACTTTCATAAGAGATACCATAATAACGCAGTACTTCACAGCCGACCGCTGAATCACCCGTCTAATATTTTGTCACGGATTTCATCATATATATATATATATATAAAGTAGACATTCCAAAACAAGAGTCATCCATTCCCAAAAATTTCAGTGGACTGGAACTACCTTCCCACATCTGTTGCCACAATTGCCACTTACTATATGTTTAAAAATTGCCGTAAATAATCTATACAGCTCAGACTGAGCTCCAAAGTGTACAGCTTTGTTCTGTTCTCTTCTAACTCCCGCTCACCTCTGTAATGCTGATGGCCCTGAGGGTATGTCAGCTAAACAAATAAATAAAAAAAGTAAGTGCCTCGCCTGAAAAACCTCTTAAAGAGGTCGCCTCTTTAAGAGGTTTGCAGCTTGCCGAAGCAATGAAATCTGAGTTTTATTCGAACCCGTTGGTCAGAGTACACCTCATCATTAATTAAACCACTCATTGGATCATTCACCTCAAAGCAATATGTTTACTTCCGGGCGTGTTCGTGTCGCTCAACCTACTTTGAGCGAAATGCAGTCGAAATAACTAATGATGGCGCTCGACTCCACTTTTCTCAGCTTTGAACCGAGGCGAGGCGCGCGACTCACGCGCTCCTCGCGCTCGTTGTTTTACGCCGGGGTTTGGCTGCGCATAGACTCATATTATAGGTAGCGTACTGTGTTTTCGGAGTTCATGTTTGAATAGAATCGGAGCGTGTTTTTAGGAGTTTATTTCGTAGCGTAGTCTACACTGGCCGAGGTTGAGCAGTTTCGCGTGGCTTCTGGCGAGCCGTGCTGCGTATGCGCGAGGAGCAGTGACGTCACACGTGTCAGCACCGACTGGCCTACCTTCAAACTTTACCACAGTTCGACTAAACATCTGTTGGACAAAGAGTCAATCATTTGCTAAAGTCCGACGGGGCGGTGTTCGCGAATATAATAGACTCGGAAACTTGATGGGACGCAAGTTCTTGAAGCGGGAATCTCTACGAAGCGTTTTATTAGAGGACAGGGTCTTCTAGTTTCACCCCTTGACATTGCTTTCAGTCAGGATGGCACGCGCTGTGCAATTGATTGGGAGCTAGTGCGCCACTTTCCGCGAGAACACCAGTAATGCAGGCGGCTGCTACCAACGGAGAAAACTGCGAATGACAAGGTCTAAAGTATCTAGACTTAAAAATGAATTTCCTAACGTTATACTCACATGACGTGACGTGAGCATGTGAAACGTGGTGCTCGGTGGTACCCCATTTCACATCATTTTTCCACTATATTTTATACACCAACTCATGTTTACAAACAAACTGGAGCGCTCCTAGCCGACGCCACCGGCGCCGCGCATGCGCGATGGGGTGTGGGCAAGAAGCTCGCCGCGTCGCCGATAAACAAACCATTGAATTGCGTTGTTGTCGGCGGTGGTGTGACTCCAACGCAGGTTTCTGCGTTGGAATTGTTGATTCTACGTCTTCCTGGGCAATGCCTGACTACTTGAGCAGCCTCAGCGAAATTACTGAGGCTCGCTATACCACAAAACTTCGCGTGAATAATGTGACATGCGGCGATTCATTCCGTGTGGACGCCGCAGAGGGTACGCTAAAGCCTGATTCGCATGATGAAATTTCGGTCGCAATTTTCAGTCATGACGTCGCTCGGGTTACAACAGCGTGAACCGTAGCTGAGATGTTCAACATCGATACTGAAAATCGCAAGCAGAATCGGACCAAGTGAATGAGGCATAACAAGTCGTTGATGGTCACTGGTAACAACGATCACCATCTCCTTGTATCCACTGTTTACATCGAGCCTGCTTACCAATTTTCAAACTTAAGTATTTTGAGGCCTGCAGTCACTTCTTATCGCAAGTACCGGGCCAACATTTGGTCCACGGGCCGGTGTCGTCTAAAAGAGCAGACGACGAGCAGAAGCGTTTGAAAGAGCAGACGACAGTTCGAGCGATCAGGCGGCCGTTCGATCTTGAAGACGCACTGAACGTCCGCATGCAGGCGGTCCCAACAACTTGGCGGTATTCCCGCTTTCATGACGGAACAAAACAAATAAATCTGATGACAACAAGTATCCGTGAATTTAACCCAAACTGCTTCCCGCCCAAGCAATCGTGGTCCGACGGCGACTGGTTTTCCATTTTCACAGCACATATCCACGTTCTCGGACGAACCGAGCACATGAAAACTGATCTTCAAACCTTTCTCGACTCTTTTGGTGCAGCCCCAGTTGCGGCGTTTTGACGAGAAGGCAAGTTTTTG